ATGAGGGCCAGAACACCACGGCAGCCCCGGGTGGTGTCCCGACCCTCGCAGAGCTGGCCCGGGTGAGGGCCACCCCAGGGAGCTGACCGCCGGTGTGAGGATGCATCTACAGCTTCAATTGAGGCCCCTAGGAGGACCCTCAGACTTCTGCCCACAGCCTTGCGCAGAGCAGCACTCGACCACCTTTTGCCTTTCCCGACACCTTATTTGTACTCACGTTGAACGCGTTCTTGAAAAAAAACACACACCATCAAACATCATACAGCAACCATCAAACATCAAACATCACCAACCATCATGCGTCACACATCAAACACCATACATAACCAACCATCAAACATCATCAAACATCAAACATCATACAGCATCATACATCAAACCTCATTCATCATCAAACATCAAACATCATACATCATCAAACACCAAACATCATACACCATTCAACATCGAACATAAAACATCAACCATCATGAATCATCAAACACCAAACATCAAACATCGCACATCAAACACCAACCATCATTAAACATAAAACATCAACAATCATCAAACATCAACAAACATCAATCATCACACCTCACACATCATCCAACATACATCATACATTATCAAACATCAAACATCATACACCAAAGACCAAACATCATTAAACATCATAATCAAACACCAAACATCATTCAACATCATTTATCATCAGGCATCAAACATCAAACATCAAACCCCATTCAACATCAACCACCAAACATCGTACACCAAGAACCACCATACATCCTACATAATCAAACACCATACATCAACCATCATACATCATCATACATCATTATACATTTTCATACATCATCATACATCAGCATATATCATTATACGGCAGCAAACATCATCATACATCACCATACATCATCATACATCATCATACATCATCATACAGCATCAGACATCTCTCATGAAACGCACACCCACACCCACACCCACACCGACACCCACACCCACAATCTCTTTTTTTGTTGTTAAAGCCGTTGGAAACGCGAAACCTCCATCACCACCCTTAAGTCGTCTCACGGACGAACTGCCCGGCCACCATCCCCCGGTCAGCCCTAGTAGTAGTAGTAGTAGTAGTAGTAGTAGTAGTAGTAGTAGTAGTAGTAGTAGTAGTAGTAGTCGTAGTAGTAGTAGTAGTAGTAGTAGTAGTAGTAGTAGTAGTAGTAGTAGTAGTAGTAGTAGTAGTAGTAGTAGTAGTAGTAGTAGTAGTAGTAGTAGTAGTAGTAGTAGTAGTAGTAGTAGTAGTAGTAGTAGTAGTAGTAGTAGTAGTAGTAGTAGTAGTAGTAGTAGTAGTAGTAGTAGTAGTAGTAGTAGTAGTAGTAGTAGTAGTAGTAGTAGTAGTAGTAGTAGTAGTAGTAGTAGTAGTAGTAGTAGTAGTAGTAGTAGTAGTAGTAGTAGTAGTAGTAGTAGTAGTAGTAGTAGTAGTAGTAGTAGTAGTAGTAGAGCCAGAACGGCCGACGCCACGCCGTAAATGAAGCAGCAGCAGAAGCAGGCAGCAAGTCGCCGAGACAACAGCAAAAGCAAGCAGGCACGGAGATGAGGGCGGGGGACTGGGGAGTTCTTTACATTTACATCAATATTTACACCTACATCTACATCGACACCTACATATACATCTAGACATACATCCACATCTACACCTACAGCTACATCTACACCTGCATCTGCATCTACATCTACATCAACAGCGAGACTCACATTTACACCTACATCTTCACCTATATCTACACCTACACCTACACCTACATCTACATCTACATCTACATCTACATCTACATCTACATCTACATCTACATCTACATCTACATCTACATCTACATCTACATCTACATCTACATCTACACCTGCACCTACATCCACATCTACACCTACACCACACCTACATTTATATCTACATCTACATTTTCGCAATGGTTTTGCTTTTGCTTTGCATTGCCTTTGCTTTTGCTCTTGCCTTTGTTTTTGCCTTTGCCTTTGTTTTTGCTTCTGCTGTTGCTTTTGCTTTTGCTTTTGCTTGGTTTTGCTTTTGCTTTGCCTGCGCACAGACACACACACACACACGCATGTTTTTGCTTTCGCTCACCGGGTGTGCTTGAGAATGCTCCGGATCCGGCCTACACCGCTGCGCTATGCTATGCTATGCTATGCTATGCTCTGCTATGCTATGCTATGATGTGCTGCGCAATGCTATGCTGGGCTAGGCTAGGTTAGGCTATGCTATGCTGCGCTATGCTATGCTGCGCTATGCTATGCTATGCTTTTGCTTTGCCTTCGCTTTTGCCTTCACTTTTGCCTTTGCTTTTGCTTTTGCTTGGCACCCAGGGAGCGCAATTGGGGGAACCGCGCGTTTGCTTTTACCTTTGCTGTTGCTTTTGCTTGGCTCCCAGGGGACGGGGGGAACCGCCCGGGGCGGTTTGCACTGCCTGGCCCTTTTAAGCCAAGCGAGTAAGAACCCTTCTAGGCAGAGCCTAGGTGGGGAATCACGTAAAGTGGGGTCGAGTAGGTAGAAAACAATAGGGCCCTAGTAGGATACTGAGCGAGCTGGACCGAGCCCTAGTAGCATTCTATCAGAGCCAGTGCATGGCGCGGGCGCTGGCGACAGGTGCGCCACCGCCGCCGCTGACGTCGTCGTCGTCGTCGTCGTCGTCGTCGTCGTCGTCGTCACCGCCGTCGTCCCCGTCGTCTTCGTCGTCTTCTTCGTCGTTGCAGCAGCCGCCGCCGTTGCCGCCGTCGCCGTCGCCGTAGCCGTCACCGTCGCAGTCGCCGTCGCCGTCGCCGTCGCCGTCGTCGTCGTCGTCGCCGTCGTCGTCGACTTCGTCGTCATCGTCGTCGTCGTCGTCGTCGTCGTCGTCGACTTCGTCGTCGTCGTCGTCGCCAGGGAGTTGGGGAAGGAGTTGGAATCCTCAACTAATTTTCCCAGAGGGGGCTCCAACCCCCCCCACCACCAATTTCCCGCGCGGTGTCTCTTGGACCCCCCAAATGATTTCCTGGGAAGCGGAAGGGAGGGGGGAGGTTCTGGACCCCCCCACGAAGTTTGATTTCCCGGAGGGGGGCGGGGGAGGCGTTCTTCGGACCCCTTTGTATCATTTTCTGGGGGGGGTCCAGACCCCAGGGTTCTTCCCGGGGTGGGAGGGTTGGGGGTGGCGGGGGGGCGGGGGCGGAAGGGGCCCACTGGTTTCCGACCTCCCTTAGGAGTTTTTGTCTGGGGCGGGCAGGGGGGCGCGTGGGCCACTGGCTTCCGACCCTTCCTGAAGATTTTTTGTTTGGGGGGGGGAGGGGCCCCTGCTTTCTGACCCCCACCAAGAAACCTTTTGAAACCTTCTCAGGCCAGCGCCGGTTCCCTCACATGTTCTGATCGCGGCTCGAGCTTTCCCACTCGCTCCTTTCGACCTGCGGCGCCCAAACTCGCTTACGGCGTGTCCCTCCCGTCGCTCGACCGGCGTCTGACCCTTCTTGCCCCCGCTGGCCAAAAAATGTGCGGGCACAGTGCGCGAACACATCGCACTGGTGCGCTGCACTAGCGCGCGGCATGCCCTTCGCGGCGCTCGCGCTCGGCGTCCGCTGCTCGAGACAGCGGCGCGGCTGCACCGCGCCAGGAGGGCAGAAACGCGCTGCAGCGAGGCCCTGCGTGAGCCCCCCTGCGCATCTCCGTCCTGGCCGCGGCGCCTCGGAACCGAGACGCGGCCCGGGGCCGCCGAGGGACCCTGCGAGGCCACACGGGGCACCACCGGGGCGGGAGAGAGGCGCGAGGGGGGCGGGCCCCCGAGGCTCCTCTTTCCGCGAGGCCCCTCCTTAGGAGGAGGAGGAGGAGGAGGAGAGGAGGAGGAGGAGGAGAGGAGGAGGAGGAGGGAGGAGAGTAGGAGGACGAGGAGGAGGAGGAGAGGAGGAGGAGGAGAGGAGGAGGAGGAGGAGAGGAGGAGGAGGAGGAGGAGGAGCAGGCTCAGAGCGCGTGCGCGGGCGCCGGGCGCCGCAGTGCTGCACAGCACCCCCGGCTGCCAGGCGGAGCGCGGGCAGCGCGCCGCCCCCCACGGCGCAGCGCGCGCGCGGCGTGGCGCAGCGGGCGCAGCGGGGCGCAGCGAGGGCGGGCCGCGGGTCGGCGGGGGTGCAGCACGGCGGCCTCCTCGGGCGCAGTGCCTCAACTACGATTTTCCCACGGAGAGCCCGACCAAAATTGCAAAGAGGGTTGCCGAGAAACTGGGGATTGTTGGTCCCCGAACGGCAGAGCCTCCAGGGAAACTGAAAGTACCAACTGTGTGTAGAAATATCATCCTTGTCGCTTCTGTCGTAGCTGTCCCGGCAAGCCTTGCAGCAACGATCTGCGCAATCTACACCCTCGTAGCGTTCCCTCGGCTGTGCCGTTCTCCGTTCCTCTGCCTCGGGCGCGGCGGTGGCTCCGCCGCAGGACGCCGAGCGCCCAGAGGGCGGGTGCTTTTCAAAATGTGGCTATCGCCGTAGCGCCGCGCATCTTCGTCTCAAGAGTTTACCGCGATGGCAAGGGTTCTCATGGCTAGCGTACCAGAAGCGGTGTTCTGGCACGAGGTGGGACTGTCGAGGCGTAGCGATGCTGCTGATTCGCGGTGCTGGAGTCCCAGCAGTGGTACCCTGGCGCGATTCAGGATCGTCAAGACGCAACTGTAACGACGTTGATTCGAAGCGTTGGAGTCCCAGGAATGGTGTTTCGGCGCGGTTCAGGATTTTCAAACGGTTGTCCTCCAACGGGGCACCTCACTCAGTGGAAATGAATCCTTATAGGTGCCCATGAAGTGAGGCAGCCTCTCTGATGACTCTTAGGTTGACAGTTTGCACTGGTCCCTCCTCCTCCTCCTGCTTCCTCCTTCCCTCCCTCCCTCCCTCCTTCCTCCCTCCTCCCTTCTCATCCTCGTCCTCCCTCCCTCCCTCCCTCCCTCCCTCCCTCCCTGTCCTCCCATAACTCCCTGAGGTTGGCTGCGCCCCGCACGGGCCTAGGTCGTGACACACCAGCTGCTTGAGGGACACCTGGCGGGGTGTCCCAGGCCCAGCCACGGCCAGATAAGTGGGAACGAGGAGGAGAAGGAGGAGGAGGAAGAGGAAAAGGAGGAGGAGGAACGCCCCCAAGAGAACTGCATCCACAATCGTCGACGACGCTCCCGCACTGTGCCGGAGCTCAGCCGCGAGACGCGCAACTCGGGCGAGAATTCCGCCGCCTCGGAGTCCGAGGGCACCCATCTGCCTAACCCTCTCCGCTTGCTGCGGAGGCGGCGATCGAACGAACCAACGACCATCGCTGCCAGGGAGGCGACCCAAGACTGGGCGACGGGCGCGCAGCAGGGCGCGCTGGCGCCGTGGGAGAACGCATGACGCCCGATAACAACGGCATGACTCGGTGCACGTGCATGCGGAGGAGGCGGTGCAAGTGATACATGCGGAGGAGGCGGTGCAAGTGACACATGCAAGTGACCAGCGATGGCGGCGCACCGTAGCCGAGGAACGGAGCATGGACAGAGCGCCAGCAGTGGGAGCACCGGCGACGGCAGCGAGGTGCCAGCGGCCAGGGCCACGCGGAAAGGGAGTCGAGGGCACCTCACGCAGTGGGCGAGAGATTCGAAGGCATCGCAGCCCATGAATCATCGTGGATCAGACTTGCGAAGACAGGTGTCGCACACCCACCCACCCCTGCAGGCGCGAGTGGCCCCCATCCTCAACGAGAGGGAGGGGGGGAAGAGCTGATCGTCTACAGTCGGGGCGTTGACCTAAGGAACCCTAAATACGGAACGAGGCCCCTTTTTCCCAGAAGTTAAACTTCGATTTCCCATCGAAACCCTAAGCAAAACCAAAGGCGAACTGCAAAACAACTAAGGAACACCGAGCCCCTCCCCAACGAAAAGGGTTCCTTCCTCAGCGCCCCGACTGTACTGAATATCCGCCCGATCCACGCGCTGTAGCTCTGCCCACGCCCAAGTCGAACAAGCGGCCAGGCCGCGTCTCGATTACGCGGAGGAGGGCGCCCAAAGAAAGGTACAGCACAGGGGTGATCCCGCGCTGAAGGGTCCGCCGCGTCTCGATGCGGAGGAGGACGAGGAGGACGAGGATGAGGAGGAGGGGGTGAGTGGGGGAGAAGGAGAGACAGAAAAGAGGATGCTGATGATGATGCTGATGATGCTGATGCTGATGCTGATAATGATGCTGATGCAGATGGTAATGATGATGCTGAAGATGATGATGATGATGATGATGAGGATGATGATGATGATCGTGGTGGTGGTGATAATGATGCTGCTGCTGATGCTGATGATGATGACGACGCTGATGACGATGACGATGACGATGACGATAATGATGATGATGCTGATGATGAGGATGATGATGATGATACTGATGTTGATGATGATGCTGATGATGATGATGACGGTGGTGATGCTGCTGATGATGATGATGATGATGATGTTGGTGATGACGATGACGATGACGATGATGATGATGACGACGGTGGTGATGCTGCTGCTGATGATGATGGTGGTGGTGATGGCGATGACGATGACGATGGCGATGATGGTGATTATGATGCTGATTGTAATGATGATGATACTGATGATGATGCTGATGATGATGATGATGCTCTTGATGATGATGAGGAAGATTCTGGCAATTATGAGGATGCCGACATTGATGATGATGATGAGGAGGAGGAGGAGGAAGAGGAGGAGTATGATGATGATGCTGATGTTGACACTGTTGTTAATGATGACGACGACGGTGATGACGATGCTGATGAGGATGATGATGAGGATGATGATGAGGGTGATGATGATGGTGATGATGACGATGATGATAATGCTGATGATAATGCTGCTGCTGCTGATGATGATGATGATGTTGATGATGATGATGATGATGATGATGATGATGATGATGATGATGATGGTGGTGGGATGACGATGATGATGATGATGATGATGAGGAGGAGGAGGAGGAGGAGGAGGAGGCGGAGATGAAGGTTCGGAAACTGAACGTAAGTTTAACCAGTTCCATGGGGCTCACGGGGTCCCAGGAGAGTGGACGGGGAGGTGTGCCAGAGAATCGCCAACCTCCCGGATGGAGGTTTCGAGCTTCGAACTGGATATTGCTTTCCCTTTCTCTGGGCCTTCACTCTTTTCTGGCTGCAGACCCCCTGGGTGGCTAAGGTCACGGCGGGGAGGGGAGGAGAAGGCAGGGGAGGGTAGAGGGCAGGAGAGGGCCTGGTGGGAGGGAGGGGGAGCACGGAGGGGAAGAGTAGGGAGAGGGCGGGGTGGGTGGGTGGGGGGGGGTGCGCGGGAGGCGGAGAGATCAGGAAGGGGCAGCAAGGCAGGGGGCAGGGCGGGGGGCGGGAAGAGAGCGGGAAGAGGAAGCGCTCGGGAAAAAAGGTCCCTGCCGGGAGATGAGGGCCGAGGATGGGGAGGAAGGCAAAGGCGCCGCCGCCGACGGCCATGGCGGCGACAGCGGCGGCGGCGACAACCGTGTGCGCCGCGGGGCCACCTGCGTGTCCATGGAGGAGCCCGTCTTCAGCGAGACGTAGACTGCGGCCAGCAACTTCCGCTGCGACTCGCCGCCGTGGGACTCCCGGGACCCCCCGTGGTAGAGC